TGTGTTGGGTCAGTGTTATGCCTTTCGTCAGAATAAAGGGATAAGTTTCTAAAGAAGCCGTGGTGCTGCGTCGGTGGGAGTCACAAAGTAATTTTTGGTTTTATCAACTGAGTTGATAATGTAATTTTGGCAGCGTAAAGAGTTTCAAAGCTGGCGATTCGAGCGTTAGCCCCTCGTCATCGCTCTGACTAAAAGCTATAGCCGGCTCGAAACGTCAGCTTTGAAACTCTTCCATCGGAATACCCTATTTCTTCCCCAAGTCTCTCTTTCGACGTACCGACTGGTAAATTTTTGGGAGGAGAGTTTTACCAAAACCCTGCAATAAAAATAATATACTGTACCTACACGATAATAAAAAGATAGAGGAATAGGTCCGAGGAAATTTCTGAGAGGAAACGAGGCTTGCGGGTGAATTTTGAGGAAATGACTATCACTAGTAACATACAACTCTGAAGTATTGCTAAAGTGAAAATTTCGACAGCATGAAAGAAGTATCTAAATGGAGATGCTTTGTGAATGAGAAAAAATAGATTTATTGCAATGAGGAAAAAGCAACCACAACAACAAAAATGTTACATTTGACACTCGAACTTCAAAGAAAAGCACATGGTAAAAAATATACTATAAGTCCCTGCAACTTGGACCACAAAGCGTCCAAATTCGATTGTAGAAACAATTTAACTTTTTGTTTGGAAGAGTCAATTATTGACAGTCCCTTCCTCATTTTTTTCTTTTCCAGCCTCTTACTTTATGTCCTATCACACAATCCTGAAAACGTCACCAGAATACACAGCAGCTTTGAAGAGCGCACGTGAAATCGGGAAGAACATCTCAAAGACACTTGGTGTGGAAGTGTTCCCATACAGGTAAGAAAATACATCAAGTACACAAGGATGGGCCCTCGATGAAATACCGCCCTCGGTTAATCGCCGCGGATGGGAGCAAAATTTAAAGAATAAAAATAAATGAACGCTGCTCTAAAACAGAAGCTTGTGGCGTCTATTCGGAGGGTTTTAGGAAATAAAAATCGAGGAATTGTATACTAATCCTTGACGCACCCTTTACAAACTAACAGAGAAGTGACATGGTATTGCTTTGCACATATCTACAAATGATGTACCGTAATTTGTAGACCATGTAAGCCGTTCTTGTTTAAATGCTACACCTGACGAAAACGCTGTTAATTAATAATTGGTGCCACTTTACGAGACCAAACAACATGAGCTTAGGATATAGCCCCATCTCCCGCATCCTCTCTGTACTGGCCAGCAGAGGACGTTTAAGAACTCAGCACGTCTCGCAAAGAGTATGGAGCATTGCTCCAATGTTGTGGTCTGTACTTGTTGTTCTTTGTGCAGGCCTCCATTTACACCAGCTTTAAAGCTGAAGTAGATAAGCCTGGCTTAATATCGCTGTCTTAAAACTGTTTATTTCCCGTAAATGTCATGTAATTCCTTTTTGTTTATTTCGGTTTTTTTTTTTTTTTTTTTTCCTGATAGCGTATTCTACGTTTTCTACGAACAATACCTTACGGTTGTAAAGGAAACTTGGGAAAATCTTTTGTATTGTGCAGGTCAGTTTATTGAATTTCAGATCTGGGTAAGTCCTAAGTTGCTATTTTAAGGTAAATTTGATGTGATTTGAAATAAAACCACGAATTATACGATTGTTATTCCGGGAGGTTGTTAACTACAGATACCATTGGATGATTATATTGACTCTACAAGACACTTGATGCCGTGAAATTTTGATATCCTGAAAGAACGGTTTTTTGATTGAGTGACGTCAATCCAAAACCAAAGTAATTACAACGACCAATGAGAAGAAAGGAAAATACCGGTAAGAGCCAATGAGAACTCAATGTAAAACCAACCAAACTTCCTAAAGCGCGGGAAAACGCGGTCGACCAACTTGTGATTGGTTTTAGTTGCATCTGATTGGTTTAGAGAGTGGTACGAGTTTTCTGGACCAATCACAGTAAAGCAAAAGCAAAAGCAAAGCAATCTCGGATTTCTTTCAACTCTTATTAAAAATGGTTTTTTGTCCTTTTTTTTTTTGTTTGTTTCTTTTTTCAGCTGCCATCTTTGTTGTGACCTTCCTTCTCTTAGGATTTAATCTGGGTATAGCGATCATAGTGACCTTTACGGTGGCTCTCATCATTGTAAATTTGATGGGTCTGATGTACATTTGGAACATTTCACTAAACGCCGTCTCACTTGTAAACCTTGTTATGGTATGTATAAATAGCTGAGGGTTTTAAAAACTAGCAAGGTTAATGTTTGAATACAGGTTAAACTCAAAGCATACGCAACTGAGTCAGTGTCAGGCAGTTGCGTGCCAATTTCCCGCACTAAGAAAAGGAAAATTGTCAGAAACAACTGCTTTCAAGCAAAATTTACGAATTTAAATTGAAACATTCATAGAAACATTTGAAAGCAAAGGAAAGAAAGGAAAAGTTGAATTGAGGCTTTTCGAACGCAAAGTTTATAATTTAATTAACCGTTTAGATTTTGGCTTTGATCACAAATTTTATACGAATTCTGTTACAATTGCCTACTGATTTTTGCAAAAAGCATAGTATCTTTGATGTTATGAGGCATTATTACGAATATGTGTATTGAGGTGCTACTCGCACTTTGCATTTTAAAAGTGAAGTTCGTTGCAATGATAAAACCCAAAAATAAAAATAAAAAAATTTGATCAAAAACGATCTCAGTTCCAACTGGTTTTGTTTCGACGAAGTGTGTTCTGACATAATTATACTGTTTGATAATTCATTGTCTTTTACTAGCTATTTTATGACCAAGATAATTTTGTTCTCCTCATAGGCGGTTGGTATATCAGTAGAGTTTTGCTCGCATATTGCGCGAGCGTTCACCGTCAATTCTCAGCCCTCAAGGGTAGAAAGAGCTAAGGAAGCTGTAGCAAAAATGGGCAGCTCAGTAAGTTTCATATTATGGTGTGCATAACTTTCAATATCTGCATTTATTCCCCCTTAAACAAACAGCATGCAAATTTTGCAGGTACAATACAATACAATACAATGTTCTTTATTTGGAGAGGGTAGGTACATGATTAACCCAGTAAAGAGTTTTCTAACACATGGCCCTCTAATAAATCCACCCAACCCACCCCAGGGGAGGACATCCATCACACAGTAATCTCGTGTGTGGGAAATTAACGTCTCCTACCCCAACCCTGCAGGAGACGGGACCTCCATTTATTCGTCCCTATCCGAGAAGACTAGAATATCTAACCATTTCTTGATGTTATAGAAAGGCAGCAAATTCTTCTCAATTATGTTAAGTGTTGGTGTTGGTCCGGCCGGGGCTCGAACCTCGCCCTC